GCTGCATTAAATATTAAAAAGCACTGTCTTATGGGCTTTATATATATATATATATATATATACATGTAAATATATATATATATATATTAAATGTTGAATTTATTTGCAGGTTCGGGGCAAAGACTTCCGCCACGAGAAGACGAAAAAGAAAAGGGCGACGTGGAAAGGCTGCGGTGAAATCCCGATGACGGTAAACTCAATTCAATTTGCAAGCGACTCAGATTAATTGTTGAAATAATTAATTTATTTACTTTTATCAGTAGCAGCTGTAGTTGCTTACTTTTATTCATTTCTTCAATTTCATGTTGGCGGTATGGGGGTGGTGAGGAGGTCTCAACGGGCGTCCAAGGAACCCCGGAGTTTCTTGTTTTTTTAATTCATTGTGCAGTATTATTATTCACTTTATTGGTAACTTCCTCTTCTGAAATCAACATTAAATACTTTAAAAACAAGAACTTGCTTGTTTTCTCGCTGCTTTCCGCGCCTTCTAGTTGACGCGGTCGCCGCACAAAAAGTTGCAAAATGTTAGGAACTTTCGTTTTGCTTCGATGCTAGTTCTTGTTTTCCTGGAAAGGGTGTGTTATTACACCTGAACGTCTCAGTGGATGAATGCATATAGTTTAAATAAGGCATGTTTAAAGTAGTCAGAGAAATGAACGCGAAATTACCGAGAAAGAAGCCAAAACGCATTTCTTCATTCGTCGTAGACCTGCACATACACCCCACGGTGTATGCGCAGATTTCGCAATCCTCTGGTGCAGACTGACAGTACTACGATGCCCTTTATGAGTATCAGTCTCTCAACTGATGCGTTATTCGATTAAAATGAACAACCAGAGAAATGCGTATTTCCTCCTGTAGACAGCTGCTAGGGAATCTAACATTCTTCATTCTTCCTTCAGCTGACTGTCACTGACGCCGGCGTTTCCCAGTGCTCCACAGGCACTCAATGCAGATCTGAGGCATTAATTTTAGCCTTTTACAGCTCTATTCAAAACTTTGCTAGCTAACTTGCTGAGGGACCCTCTGGCGGCGAGAGGAATACAGCAGAGTTTCACCTCGACTAAGCCAGTTTCAAGCCCAAAGGGCTCTAGACGTCTTTTAACAAGCGTTTGATCTTTGCAACATGAGCTTAGAATTCGTTGGAGAAGATGTTTCTATTCTTTATCAACCTACAATGCAGACAGGAGGGCCTTTGTATACACCTTACATATTCCGCCTCGCCCTGTGCTTGCCTGTGCATGCATTGAATGAAACGTTTCGTGTTATTAACAATTAAACGAGTGAAAACGCATGCAGTTAATACCTCAAGATGCTTCTCTTAGCGTTTAATTGGATTTCTTCTACCTCGTGGTTCCTGGGGCTGGCAGAAGGCTAAATGTATGCAGCCCCTGCGTTGTAAGAGGAGTTGTATAGGTACGCCAGTTAATAAGAAATGCATTTGTTGGTTGGAAGTCTTTATTTATTTTTGTTTATTTCAAGGAATGAGAGAAGATGAGACCTTCGTTTCGGCTGCCTGCTGCAGCGGCTCGCTCCCTTAGCAATGCCTCTAGTAGTGCTGCGTTTGTTTCTTCCTGTGTTAGCTGCACAAAACCCCAGAACCAACATATAATTATTCCTCTGTTTCAGAGACATTGCTGCAGATTCCATTCAAATGCAGCAGCTACACAGTCACACTCAGCAGCTGCAGATACACCGCAGATTCGCGAGTGGGAGAAGCCGCTCATCGCTGAGGTGTACAGACAGCTCCGTGGCCAGCCTGTCCAGCTGCGTCCCTCTTCCTCTTCTTCTTCCTTCTCATCAGCATCAGCAGCATCAGGAGCAGCTGGTGCAGCACGTCCGTCTAACGAGCCGGTCGACAGCAGCAGCAGCAGCAGCAACAGCAGCAGCAGCAGCAGCAGCAACTGGGGCCCCACATCTCCGTTACCAGGTTGGGAGTATTACCCTGAAGATGAGAGGGGCCTCCGCTTCGGCTCTGCTTATATGTTTCTGACTTTGGCTTGGAACCGAAAATTCAGCCGACTAAGAGATCTCCTCGTCAACGCAAACAGATCCAGAGAAGGCGCTAAACAAGTCCTCAGTAGAGTTCTTTCTGTTGTACGTACAACTCCAACTCTCAAACATATGCTGCTCTTGCTGCTGCTGCTGCTGCTGCTGCTGTTGGTGGTGGTGGTGGTGCTGCTGCTGCTGCTGCTCTGGGCCCCAATTGCTTCCCTGTTGCACCGCGCGCTGCAGCAGAATCGCAGAATTGCAATACTTGTTGCTGCAGCAGAGATGCATCATGTGCTGCTGCAAGAGGGTCAGCAGCTGCTGCTGCATCTGCAGCTGCTGCTGCATCTGCTGCTGCGTATGCGTTGCTGCGGTTCTTCATTTGCTGCTGTCTGCAGGTTGCTGAAGATTTGTCTAACGGCGTCAGAGCCCAGCCTTCTGCTGAGACCAGCAGCAGCAGCAGCAGCAGCAACAGTAACAGCAGCAGCAGCAGCAGCAGCAGCACATCTTCTGAGAAGACAAGCGAGAGTCTCTCTGCTGCACCCCACACCCCGGCACCCGCACCCGATGATCTCTTAGCAGCGCTGCAGGGGGGCTTAAACAGTCAGCTGCTGCTGCTGCTGCAGCAGCAAACTTCTTTTTTAATGCAAAGAGGAATCTCTATTCGCTCGGTTATTAAACCCCAAAGGGTTGTCGTAGACAACGTATATGGCATCGTAGGTAAGAAACAATATACATATATATATATATGTATATATGTATATATATATGTATATATATATATATGTATGTATATATATATATATATATATGTATATATATATATATATGTATATATATGTATTATGCATTTATATGTTTATTTACTTTACTCATATGCACATATATGCATATATATATATATATGTATGTATATAGAAATAGTTGTATGTGCGCATATATATATATATATATATATGCATATAAGTATATACATGTATATATATATATATATATATACATATAAGTATATATATGTATACATACATATATATATATGCTGATCTTAATGCATAGAGTGTATAGAATTGAGTGTATTTGTTTTCTGTGTTTGTTTGAAGGCTGCACAAGGGGCTCTAGTGCTTCTTCGATGCAGTTAGTGCAGCACGGGTCGGTGCAGGTGCTGCTGCGGCGCAGCAGCAGCAGCAGCAGCAGCAGCAGCAGCAGCATGAGTCCTGCCGCCACTGTGTATATGCCTAAGCCTCGCCCATTTGACTTTGAAGCTGCTGTTGCAGCAGCAGAAGCAGCAGCAGAACCCGATTCAGCAGCAGCAAAAGCAGCAGCAGCAAAAGCAGCAGCAGCAGCAGCAGCAGCAGCAGCTAGATCCAGTGAACAAAGCAGTAAGATAGATACTGAAGATACAGAGCAAGGAGAAGCAGCAGATATATTAACAAAAAGACAGCAGCAAATAATGCAAGAAGAAATATGGCGATCAAAGAAAAGACAGCAAACTCAAATTCTGCTCAGACAGCCGACAACCTTCAGGCGTCAGCAGCACTTATATATATTATATATATTATATATCAATAAATATATATAATCTATATATAAATATAAGCATATATATATATTTATTTATATTTATGTATATTCATATACTCTCCTATTCTCTAGCATATTCTTGTT